GGTAGGGCTTTAAGGTTGGGCTGAGGGTTGAGGTCAGGCTTTTCGGTTAAGGGGGGTTGAAGGTTGAGTTTTAGGGTTGAGGCTTGGGTTTTCAGGCTACGTTTTGGACTTTGAGTTCTGGGCTTAGGTGCTTTACGCTTTAGGGCCGAAACCTTAAATCGTTTAGAGTTACACGAGATTGTGCGTCTTATCTGCCTGTAGTCTCTGCTGACAATGCCCTTCTGATGTATTTACGTTTGTCTTCAGTTGGCAGCGGAGGAAGGTTGCCAATAATCGGAATGCGGTAGGTTTTGGCAAGGTTTTTGTTTTAGCGGTGCGGGCTCTGGTGGAAGAGGCCAGCGCCTTTAGAACATGGTTTCAGCCAGGTCCGAGGCCCGCGCGGGATGCCTTTAACCACGGAGTGTTTATAATCAAGAGTTGACATTATTCAGGTGGTCTGTCATGATTCGTAACAGTTTCTTTCAGACATGTAGAATTGCCAGGGCCGTGCTTGAGGGCCTCGCGCACCTCCACCGGCATGATGTGGTGCATGGAGCCATTCGAGGCCACTAGGCACTTTTATTTTACGGTTCTCCAGGTTGATACTGCAGACAGCGTCCTTTAGGCCTCCACGGATCGGACACGATTGTTTGGAAATATCCTCCACCTGGATTTGGAAGCTATACCTATGCGAGATGATGCCCCCTGTTTCGTCTACCATCCTGTCGGCCAGCGCAAGGAGGCAACGTATTGCTTGGCCCTGGCTCTGCAATACGACTGTCGGTCCGCACCCCGGTCAACCTAACTGCCCAATAATCCTGCTGCTTCGTTGAAAGAGAGCGAGCAAGTGACAGTGAGGCGAGGTACGTCCATGGATTCACGGCAGCTTTAAGTGAATATTGGAACGCAGTTGTGTGTGTTAGCATGCTCGCCAGGCGACGGCAGTGGAAATGTTGTGAAGATCATGAACACGAGGTCAAACCGTACAGATGATCAAACCGTACAGATTCGATCAAGTTTTACCAATGCAGCTCGAAGGGCGGAAGCATGCGGTGAGACTTGAAGTGAGAGCAAAAACAATGAAATCATGTTCGCGGTTCGCACTTCCCACGAGGCTCGCCTGACATAGGGAAGGTTTGTGCATCATCTTCCTCTCGCGCGGCATGTCGTCCCGCCTGTGAAATCAAGGCTTGCGATGCCTTGCATCTCTCGATGTGTACTGAAGATGAGCGGATATGATAAGATCCCGTACAACTCTCACTTTGATACTCTGACTTTAAAGAGCAGCACAGTCCAACAACAATGACAGACTATGAAAGACTAGTGAAAGCAACTGAAACGCTTCGTGCTGCACTCTGATCGCAAAGGACTTTGGCCTCATCTGCCTCAGGGAGGGGCGCCAGGCTCGCTCACATGTGCAAGCTCGTTAACGTAGAACCCAGTCGCCTGCTTGCCGCGAGATTCTCCCGGCGAATCCCTGTGACTTACGGTAGACTCCTCGAGTGCGACCCTTCGATGATGCAATCAATGGTCCTGGATCGTAGTTAAGACCTGCTGGTTGGAGTCATTGCTGCTGTTTTGAGCTAGATTGTTGTCTGCCTAGTTGTAGCATGTTATAGCTACCCTCAAGTCGAAACGCTTCGGGTTTGTGCCGGGTTGCCTTGTTTTGAAACAGTCGGCTGAATAAGGGATGACCTGTGCGGTTGCCCCTGATACAAGTGGCACGGGGCACGAGCTGCGTATGTTGCATGTGCTGCACTGATTGATTTGCTTGTTTGCCTCGGTTTCCCTGCGTGTAGTTGAAAGCCATGTCTTACCCGGACTTGTCGTGGATGGTTGCCTGTGAGACCCGCCCACAGGCTTCCTCATCGCCTTCCCCCGGCGATGTCAAGGCAACCTCCGTCGGAACCTCGCGGAACAGCTTCTCCAGCGTTATCTTGCATGAATTGGCGTGTGGCGTGGTGTAGCAGTTAGAATGTATACATGTCTGTACGTCTTGATAGCAGTTAATATGCATACATACCTACCTGCATACATACATATACATGTACTTCTGTTCCGTAATTTGAGGATCAATCTCGTCGTTCGGCACGGCAGACGTGTGGGTATAATAAACATACATACACAGTATAACGCAAGTCAGACATATTCAGACGCTAAGGTCAATCCGAGTCAATGTGAGTCTTCCGATGGCTGTGGTCTTTGGCTGTTTGGACCGAGGCACTTTCAAATTCTGCAGCAGCTTGGATGTCGCCCGAAGTGCTGGAGGCAAAAGTTGGCAACATCTGACTCCTGATTCCCTACCCAAACCGCTTCCGACTCATTCCTCGAAGTCTTCTTTACCAACGTGTTGCCACAACGGCTGCATGCTATCGCCGTCTTGAATTCCATATGTATGCTGCTGGACATACGAAAACACGATGGCATTGCAACTTCGCATCCCTTTGCAAGTTTTTGGGCCAGTGGCTCGAATTAAGCGTGTAGGACGTACAGGATGGGGTTCAGGTGGAATTGAAGCTGCCATCATATTTGAATTTTTCGTTGGTGCGGACTGGTTCGGAAGATTGCAGCGAGAAATGGCAGCAGCAATACGAAGTTTAGTTCATGCGGCCTTCGCAGCCTCGAGGGATTCCGTGGCTTCCGTTGTCCGGAGCGACGAGGAGTAGCAGCAGGAGTAGTACTGGTCGTTGTCGTCGTCCTCCTGGCCTTTGCAGTCGCAGTCCGACTCGCAGAAGTAGTAGCAGTAGTTGTTGTCGCAGCAGTCGCAGCAGTAGCAGTAGTTTTTGTTGTACCAGTAGTAGCAGTATTGCAGTAGGAGTAGCGGTAGTAGCAGTGGTGGTGGTGGTGGTAGTAGTAGTAGTAGTAGTTGTTGTTGTTGTAGCAGCAGTAGCAGTAGTAGTAGCAGCAGTAGTAGTAGTAGTAGTAGTAGTAGCAGCAGTAGTAGTAGTAGTAGTAGCAGCAGCAGTGTCCTTAGCTCGTCAGGATTCCTTCAACATCCGTTTCACTGCGCTGACTGCTTCTCCTCCTCCTCCTTCCCTACTAATATTACTACTGCTGCGTTTCGCATCTTCTGCGACTAGATGACAGCAACGTTGTGCTTGCGGAACCCCAGATCCTGTATCAGGATGCAGGATCTGGGGTGCAAACTGATGCTCACTCACAAAATTATCTTTGAGGCACTTGCCTGTTTGCCCTGTGGCAGACTTCATGCGGGAGTGCTGTGTTCGAACTCAGTCCAGCGGTTCCATTCGCTCGTCCTCACTCGAAGAAAGCTCGTGACAGTCGTGACATGCAAATGTACTATACGCCAATCACTTCGAAGCCGATCTGATACACGCAGGGTAAGGCGCCGACGCAGAGCAGCGACATTTGGTCCACCGGCTGCCTGGTGGCCGGGAACCCGATTATCGTGAGCGTCCACAGGACTCAGATAGCGATCTGTCAGAGTTTCAGAACGACCCCTTGATTCGGTGAGTGAAGCGATTTCAGAAAAAAAAGCCAATATTTCAAGCAACAAGTCCGAGAACAAATCATGGACACAGAAGGCGACAACCAGGAGAGAGTACATCGACCGGAGTCAGGATTAACAGTGATTAACACAGCAGAAAACCACGGAAGTTTTTTTCAGAAACCTGTAGAAGCCTCGGCACTCTACATATAGACAGAAAGAGAGGTCACTCCGAAAGAAAAAGTTCAGAGCATACGTCATGGAGATGTGCAGTAAACTGGATAAGTATATAGATAGTTTCAAGTCACAGGACCGGAGAACTTGCTGGAGAACAACAAAGAGCCGTAGACACCTGGACAAGTGGACAAATTTCCAGCGAACTATACATACTAGAGAGACCTGAAGCAGCCTCGAAGGTTTCACCAAATCTTAAGAGATCCTATTCGACAAGTGCATATATGCACGACAAGAAAACCTAGAGACATGTACCCAAACATCAAGACGAGTACAGCAGGTTACAGAAAGCTAGAGACGACAGCAGGCATCACGATGAAATCTGTAGAACTGGTAGAAAATCACAAGGAGCGTCCGGACATGTCCGGACATTAGAGAGAGGATATCGACACTGTTGGAACTGCGGAGAAGTTTAGACAGACTTTTTCGACACTGTTGGAACTGCGGAGAAGTTTAGACAGATGTTCGAAATGATCCTTCGAAACCAGCCGTCTCAAATGTTTCAAGAGCTCCCAGAAGTTCGAAGAAGTCGGAGGCTGGAGGGATGGCGACATGAACTGGCAAAACGCCCACTGTCTATTTTAAGATTAGAGGCACGTATGTGCGTATGTCCTTGGCACCTTCGACCCCCTCTGCAAGCAAGGGATGACAGCACATCGGGCGAGATGTCTGCTAGCTTCGGTGTTTGCTTCAGGCTTTAGGCATCAACTGGTTTCCTAGGTTGCTGCAAGAGCTTTTGAGTTGGTCATTTCAGCCATTGTGCCCGCTGCTTTTCTGAGCTTGCCCGCCTTGTTATGGAGTTTGTCTTCCGAAGTAGTCGGAACTCATTCGCCGGCTGTCACAATGCATATCAAGACGTTGCGTTGATGCGTGCGCCTGGCTCAAAGTTGCTTGCGGCAGCTATAGGTTGGGTTCACCCGCCATTTTTTATTGCCCCCTTGCCTGCTGAATTGACAGGCATTTGGGCTAGGAGGTAGCTGCTCATACAGCATTGCTCCGCACGCCAACCCCTTCCCGAAGTGTAAACGCCCGTTTCGTCCTGATTATATGGTGTAGTCAGTTGGTGAGCGTGCCTGAGCATTCGAGCCTGCATCGCCGCGGTGGTTCCCACGTGCACGCACTACATACGCATGGAACTTCCTTCCTAGCCAACATCCGCAGGCTATGAGAGAGCAGTGCAAAAGACAGAGCAGATATGAGCAGATCGTATCTTGAGACAGACACTGCAGCCAGTTCCAAGCAGAATGAGCATGCAGGCCACTTCAAATCATGTTAACGTTCCTTGCGCAGGAACCACCGCGGGGAAAGCATAAATCCCCTCTCAAACGGGTGTGGCTCCATGTCAGTTGATCAGCTCTACTCTCTCCTTCAACTTGCTAGAGACGCGCAGCAGGGCGAGGGCTGGGAAACCTTCGGCCCCACTCCTGCCGAGGCCTGGCGACTTGTAACCGTCAGGAGAGTAAAAGAGTCCCTTTGCGGCGGATTGCAAGAAGCCGGCTGAGGTCATGATGCCCTCCCAGTTTGGTCGTACTAATCACGGCTCGGTGTCCTCGCCTTTGTTTTAGCATTTGTGTTCGTATGCATGGTTGTAGGAGTAATAGTAGTAGTGGTAGTGGTAGTAGTGGTAGTAGTGGTAGTAGTAGTAGTAGTAGTAGTAGTAGTATAGTAGCAGCAGAAGTGGAAGTAACAGTAGGACTAGTACAGCACCCGCACGCGAACCGGCACCACCACCACCACCAACACCACCAACACCACCAACACCACCACCACCACCACCACCACCACCACCACCACCACCACCACCACCACCATCTCCATCTCGACACGCTCGATAAAGACTATGACAGCGATGACGGTGACAATCAAGAGAGCAGTGACACCAACTAAGCCAGCATCAGAAGTCATTCTAGCAGACCACAACACGCCCGCGCAACCCACTAATCTTCCTGCCGCAGGAACATGGCTCCGCCAGAAAGATCGTGGCTGGTAGATGGACACCTAGCTGCGCTTACATAGGCGCGGGATCCTGTTGCAGGCATGTTTGGCCATCTTGCTGTCGCATTCAGGCTGGAACTGGTTGAGCGAGATGCATGTTTTTAAGTTTGATTTCGAAGGTACCTGGCCCTTAATGCGACAAGCAAAAGCCGCCGAGGTACAGCTTAGGGTTGCAGGCTGGATTTGCAAGGCTTAGAGGGAGCGATCTGAAGTCCCAACTTCGAACGTCGTTTGTTTTGCAGAATGACTAAACATATGGTTCCGTGTCGCGTGTCGGTACCCCCCCCAACCCCACCCCCGGGTCTCCACCCGAAACCTCTTGTCTCAAAAGTGCCAACAGTCACAGGGATGGGTCCCCCGAACCCGGGATCCTCGTGAGTGTTGTGACTTTTGAAGCTGTGCAACTTCGTGGCGTGTCCAAAGTGGCGATACTCACCTGGATGGGCCATGGTTTCGGTCTGTGCCGCGACCAGCTCCGCGACCAGCTGCTGACCCTCAACCTTAAACCCTTCCACATCTGTACCCGTAAACCCTAAACAACCCCACCACACACGCCACAGGGGGGGGTGCGAGTGCAAACCCTAAACCCTAAACCCAACATCGGGATTGCACATGTTTTCGGAACAGACTGTTTGCCCCTATTCAACCTCGCCTGTGAGCTTCGTTCTCTGCCATGTGAGACGGAAAAAAACCCAACACCCACCACCACACCACGGAGGGGGGAAGGGGGTGAAACACTTCACAGGGGGGGGGGGGATAGGGGGGATACCATGGGGTGGGGGGTGAGGGGGTCGGGCGACGCTGCACCACCTGTGCCAGGCCTTCTGTACAACAGGAGCATTTGAGGGTTCGATCAGCGTCAGCCCTTCCACTAAACTGTGCAGGGGTTTGTGTAGTCCGGGCAATGCCATCTTAGTCAGGGTCGATACTTAAAACGGCTGTTTTGCAACTTCCGTGTACGAGATGCTCCTGAGCAGTTCTCACAAGTGATTAGTGATGAAGGCGAACCTGCGTGGTACTTGTATAGATGTTGTTGGGACTGGGTGTCTTTCGAGGTGGAAAGACCAGTCTAAAAGAAATTCGGCCCGGAGCATTTGCAACATCACTCATCATAGTTCTAAACACGTCACTGGGTATCATGTTCTACCAAGCATCCGGTCGCCGATCCTTGCTCAATATTTTGCGAGCATGACTGCGACATGGTTGAAATCAGAATCTGCATCCAGAAACATCTCGAACGGCAGAATCAACTCAGAATTACTGCGTCACGTCTCCGTTCTCCAGATCTGAGGTGTGCGAGAGTTCGCGGCGTGCTTCAACAGAGCACCTCGTGGAAATCTGTAATGAGGGGATAACTCTGCCGGAGATTTGTGCAGAAAGCGTTGGATGTTTTCCCTAGAGCGAGCCATGGAATTTTACTGTAGCCATGGGGTACGAACAGCCCCAAAGATGGACACGAACCGCTGGACTTTTTGGAATAGCTTGATGCAGTTGTAATCAACGCAACATTCTTGGATCGTTCGTTGTTGTGTGTGGTGTATCGGCGGTGTATCGGCGGTTGTTTCAATAGGGGCTTTCTTAATCGGGTTTGTTGTGCCCACCCGTGCTGCCATTCACCTGTGCTAGCAGGCGAAATGGATCATGTGACCAGCATCCACTCCACAAACACTTGTTCATTTCATGACGAGTTCTTATATGCAGCAGGATTCTGTGATCTTCTTTGCTAGTAGGCGGCCCGAGAAGCCTACGACAGCCCGGAGGAAATTCCAAGCCCCGCCGTAGAACTACAGTAACACTGTAGCATATAATCCCTATGCATTTTTGGCATATTAATGCCCGAAAAGTCCATGCAACTATTAACTGGGCCCCTACGTTGTAAACTTGCCAAACCACCCTGTGCGAACAACCCTAAACCCTTAACCAAGCTGCGATGCGTCCTCGCTAGGTGGGAGGCAAAAACTGAGCTCGTTTCTGTTTCCTGGAATGTTGCAGACTTGACATGCCTAGTGTTGAGCGAGAGCCTCGTCCTGGCTTATTCGAGATGCGAGAGTGTAAACCCTTGACCGTACCGTACCGTAAATCCCAAGCCCCAGCATAATGATATAATGTAACATGCACTATCTGAGACTTTGCTATGATATGGCATAGTACCGCTGACTATAGTAACTAGAGTATATAGCTTATATAGCCTTTTCATTTTGAGGTGCCGTCCCGGCCAAGTCATTCTGGCCACTGCCCGAAGTGCTGGCAGAAGCTGCGGGGGGAGGGCTGGCTCCCCCTTTTCACCCTGCTCCCTTAAGGATCGAGAAGCTGGGGCTTAGGCTGGATCTTGAGGGTTCAAGGCTTTGAGATGAGGTTGAGGTCCTTGGTCTTCAGTGCAAGAAATACACACACACACACACACAAGACCCCTTCCGCACCAATAGCAACAAAAAGCAACACACCCCGGTTGCAGCAACAGCAAAACAACATTCTTTCCATGTATGTATGTATGCATATAGACAGACAGACAGATAGATTGATAGTAGCCACCTCCCACCCTCCTTTACCAAGAAAAAATGAACATGCCATAAACATGAAAAGCCATGTTGGTATTCATGCTCAATGGACGCCACCATCCCGCAACATCAGATCAAGCAGTTTTTGGAAGGTGACGTGCCAACTTCACAAACATGTATGAATACATGTATGTCTGTATTAGTATGTTGTTTATTCATTGGGCTTTTGGGGCTTTTTGGGAGCAACGGATTGTGGGCAACACTTTGCATGAGCATTGGGTTGTTCAGATGGCGTCGGTTTTGCAGCAGTATCTTAGAAACCTGAATCCTGAGTATTTAGGCTTGCGTAGCTTGCGTACATACACATTTACTGACACACATGTGTTATTTGTTGTTGTATGTAGGCAGTAAGGTTGCATGCGCACATGCACACACACACACACACACTCATCATATCTACCCCTGGAGGCTGTGGAAGGAGCGGGAGGCTCAACCATCATCTTCAAAAGATTTCGATTGCTCGCCAGGTGCGCTGACTCACAAAATAAAAAGTTACTATGAGTTGCAGCACAAATTCAACATCTCGAGATCTGTACTAAATTCCTGCGAATCCTCATTCAGTTGTTGCCGATGATCTTCCGAGACCTTGCAGTTGCAGGTGCGATTTGTTGTTTCGGAAGTGCAGAACTTCATATATGTTATAGTGACTATACTGTTCATCACAGGCTCAAGGACCGGCTTAGGTGGAACTCGGCCAGCTAAATGTGCTTTGCCGCAACCGCAAAGCCACCACCACCCTCACCACCGCCAGAGTTGGCAGTATCACAGTCGCGCGGTCTCTATGACTCCTAGACCTGCGCACTGGACAGGCATGCACCGGGCGATGCAACCGTGGAGCAATCATTGCAAAACTTTGTGTTCGGGCTGCAAGTCACGGCAGTCCTGTAGTCTGGCAGTGGACGGACTTTGCTCCGGTTTGCAGTGCCCATCCATTGTTCCGGCTAGAAGTCGACGAAGTGTGTTGAGCAACTCAGCAATTCGAACTTGAGATACTGAAGACCTTCCTGTGCTACCGGCTCCAGCTTTGTATACGTGCAAAGCACGGACGTGTAGTCAGAGGTGCGGTTGCTGGACTAGTGGTGCCTTGACCGTATACCTGTGGATGCCTCGATGGTTGCTGATAAATATCCGCTGCGATGTCTTTACAGCTGCAGTTGTCAACGGCTGGGCCGGGGCATCAGCAAAGTACCGACTTCGCGAATCTCTTTTGTACGGGCAGCAGCACCAAGGTCCCGTGGTATCGGTGCTTCGTCGATGGTGAACATGCTGTTAGGATCTTGGTCCAAAGTGGCTACCCTGCTCTTGACCAGCTCCTTGGCCAAACTTTAACTTTGCATTCAAGCTAAAGGGGGGATCCGAACCACCACCGTCAGTGGGGTGAGGTTTGCTCCAGCACGATTCTTTTTTTTGTGGCATTAATCACGACATCCAGGTGCACGATGATTGTCTGCCCGACCAGCAGCAACCTCGGGCCCTTGGCCTTCGCAGCGACGTCGTCACCTCTGAGGGAATTCCCGGGTGCCCCTCGAATACATGATTTTCCCGCCAGGATGTTCTAAAGTTTTTCTGACGCAGTGAAAATGTTCGGACCTCGCCTAGGTCTCACGACTAGCCCCAAGAAAGATGTTTCTGCCTTCACAGTCGGCCTTCCTTTGGAGTGTTCGCTTGCTTGTGCCTCCACAGCAGCGCCCTTTTCGAAAGTACCCGTTTCCTTCGATGTGCCCGAGTAGCTGCATCTCGGATCCAGTGTGCCGACTAAGGCGGTGGTCATCACCCAAAGCGACTCGGATGGTCGTTTATGCATGGCCCTATAGCCTTGAAAAGACTTCTCCATTTAATCCAGAACCTCTGATGAACAGAAGCTGTTGCAGCAATTGGCCTGGCACTTGCAGTGTGCAGTGTCTCGAAATCACCCCGAAGCAGCACCCGCGATCATGCTCGTGGAGTCCGTTTCCATATTGAAGGGGTATTTAGGTTGAACTGCTCTAATCGGTCAAGTCCACAGGTTGCATTCTGAAGGTGAGATGCTCAATTTTCTCTGCACTTGTCGGGCAGGCGAGCAAAGTTGCTCCATGTCCCCAGTCTTGCAGGTACAGGGGCTTTAAACCGAATCTCCACACTGCCTGGGTCAGGGCGGGTGGGTGGAAGCGGGCATGCTGCTTTTTAACAAATCAGAACGGTGCAGTCCAGCACAGCACGGCAAGTACTCTAAGGCCCCTGCCCCTGCATGCACAGTTAAAGCAAAAAAGGACACCGAAGCTCCACATGAGCAGGCTTCTTGCTGCCACCTGGAGTAGACCCAAGCTGCGCTGTTGCCGCCACCAGGCTTTTTAATCATCGTATCAGATCAGCCTGGGTTGGGGTGCCAGGCTGGTTGCGCCCTCGTGTTTCCTCATACTTCACGAGGCCATACGCCCACAGGCTGCTAGATAATGAATGCAAGAAGGTGAGTAACCGACTGGAGGCTGCAGATAAGCCGTGAGCCCCAGCCCCTTCTTTTTCTGTCGGCACTGTAACATCCGCCACGAAAGATCACTGGAGTAGCGCAGCACTACAATGAGTGCACGGCATGGGGCGTCGCGCCTTCTTGCTTTGATCTTGAGTCGGGGCGTCGTTCGGGGACCAAGCATGCAAAGATGCCCTACATCTTGAACAAACCCAGTAGATTTAGAGAGTATTGCCTGTGTTGACCACCGAGACTATGCCTGGTATCACCAGTGCCTGCACACAGCTTCGATTGGCAAGATGCCCCTGCATGCTGCAGACGCAGCAAATGATGGACACGTACTACATCGAATCTGGACTGTGATAGTGGTAAGAGGGAATGGTTTGTCTGGATTGTACTACGTGTAGGAGGCCCCTTGTAGTCTTGCAGTCCTGGCTTCTTTTGCAGCGGCTGTGCTTGTGGTCTTGGCCTCGGTCCCATGTTTTTTCCACCAGAGTGATGCTGACACGTGCAAACTGCCCGTAGATATGATGGGGCGATCCAGGCAATGAGAGTCAGAAATGTCACAGACGCACCTGATCTGCGAACATCTGACCTGCACAAGATGCTCATCTAAGATCCTGACGCTGAAGAAGTGCTCATCGGGAAGTCCATTTCTTCCCCGCAGCCGCCACGCCGTGGCCAATCGTGCTGAGGATCGCGATCTGTTCTTCAGAAATCAGCACGTCGGGTGATTCGGGTGGTATGAAATCATTACATTCCTGCAAAACCTGCCAATCTGCTCCAGTGTTGACCTTTACAATTGAGAACATCCTGTGTTGATCCGGAGAACTGCTTGTGTTGCAGCATAGTCGTATCATGAAGCTTTACGAGCAGCTGCACTGATAGCCGTGGCTCCGGCTGGTCGGGTCCGCTAGCGACGCAAGAATAACCAGAATGTCTCAGTGGTTGGACATCAAACCTACTGTGAATTCGTCCTAATGTCGAAGTAGCAGTAGTAGTAGTACGTAGTAGTAGTAGTAGTAGTAGTAGTAGTAGTAGTAGCAGTAGTAGTAGTAGTAGTAGCAGTAGTAGTAGTCGTCGTCGTCGTAGTAGTAGTAGTAGTAATTAGTAGTAGTAGTAGTAGTAGTAGTAGTAGCAGTAGTAGAAGTAATAGTAGTGGTAGTAGAAGTAGTAGTGGTAGTAGTAGCAGTAGTAGTAGTAGTAGTAGTAGTAGGAGTAGGAGTAGCAGCAGCAGCAGCAGCAGCAGCAGCAGCAGGAGAAGGAATAGGAGTAGGAGTAGGAGTGGAGTAGGAATAGGAGTAGTAGTAGTAGTAGTAGTAGTAGTAGTAGCAGTAGCAGTAGGAGTAGTAGTAGCAGCAGCAGGAGTAGTAGTAGTAGTAGTAGTAGCAGCAGAAGCAGTAGCAGTAGCTGTAGCAGTTGGAGTAGTAGCAGTGGCAGTAGCAGTAGCAGTCGTACTTGCAGTAGCTGTAGTAGCAGTAGTAGTAGTAGTAGTAGTAGTAGCAGCCGCAGCAGTGGTGGTGGTAGTAGCAGTAGTAGTAGTAGTAGTAGTAGTAGTAGTAGTAGCAGTAGCAGTAGTAGTAGTGGTAGTAGCAGCAGGAGTAGTCGTAGTAGTAGTAGTAGTAGTAGCAGGAGTAGTAGTAGTAGTAGTAGTAGTAGTAGTGGTAGCAGCAGTAGCAGTAGCAGTAGCAGTAGCAGTAGCAGTAGCAGTAGTTGTAGAAGTAGCAGTAGCAGTAGCAGTAGCAGTAGCAGTAGCAGTAGCAGTAGCAGCAGCAGTAGCAGTAGCAGTAGCA